AGGCAGAGTCTAGCCCAGATTCGATCAGGTGGAAGGAAGCTATGGAGGAGAAGATGCGGTCTCTTCAGAAGAACGACACTTGGGCACTTGCACAGCTACCTAAGGGTAAGAAAGCTATTGGTTGCAAGTGGGTATATGCGAAGAAGGAGGGATCTTCTATTGGGGACATTCGGTTCAAAGCCAGATTGGTTGCCAAGGGATATGCACAGCTTGAGGGCATTAACTACAACGAGGTATTTTCACCCGTTGTGAAGCATTCGTCGATTCGGATTTTATTGGCGTTGGTGGCACAGTTGGATTTGGATTTGGTCCAGATGGATGTGAAGACAGCCTTTCTACACGGAGATTTAGATGAGGAGATCTACATGACACAACCACAGGGTTTTAAAGCTGCAGGAAAGGAAAATTTGGTTTGTAAGCTGAAGAAGTCTCTTTATGGTTTGAAGCAGTCACCAAGACAGTGGTATAAGAGATTCGACGGCTTTATGATTGGCCGAGGGTACACAAGGAGCCCATATGACCCATGTGTTTATATGCACAAGCTACAGGATGGTGAGCTCATATATTTGCTTTTATATGTTGATGATATGCTTATTGCTTCCAGGAATTCTTCAGCTATTCGAAAGCTGAAAGAGGAGTTATCATCCGAGTTTGAGATGAAGGATCTTGGAGAGGCAAAGAAGATATTGGGTATGGAGATCGAGCGAGACAGGGTGAAGGGGAAATTGAAGCTTACACAGAAGAGCTACTTGCAGAAGATGTTGAAGAAATTCAGCTTTGATGGCAATGCAAAAGCAGTTAGCACACCATTGGCTCCCCACTTCAAGCTTTCAGCGTTGATGTCACCTGTTTCAGTTGAGGACAGAGATTATATGTCGAAGGTCCCATATGCCAGTGTAGTAGGTAGCTTGATGTATGCGATGGTGTGTACGAGGCCAGATTTATCACAGGCCGTGAGCATGGTATCGAGATACATGCACGACCCCGGGAAGGGTCACTGGGAGGCTGTGAAGTGGATTCTACAGTATGTTCGAGGCACCGTGGATGTTGGTTTAGTATTTCAAAAGGATGAGAAGGATGGACAGGATTGTATTGGATATGTGGATTCAGACTATGCTGGAGATCTTGACAAACGCCGGTCTACGTCAGGTTATGCTTTTACATTGGCAGGTGCACCTGTATGTTGGCGTTGCACGCTTCAGTCCACAGTGGCTCTCTCTACTACAGAGGCAGAGTATATGGCAGTTACTGAAGCTATTAAGGAGGCTTTATGGTTGCGTGGATTATTGGAGGACTTGGGGATTGCACAGGAGACTATTCGGATATATTGTGATAGTATGTCGGCTATCTATTTGGCGAAGAACCAGGTTTATCATGCGCGCACGAAGCACATCGACGTCAGATTTCACTTTGTACGGGACGTCTTAGATGATGGAGATGTCATATTAGAGAAGGTCCACACAAATGATAACCCTGCAGATATGTTGACCAAAGTTGTTTCAGGTGTGAAATTTGGTCATTGTTTGAAGCTTTTGAACATCCTTCAGTGCTGAGGCCGTTGGAGGCCATTTGGGTGAACTACGTTCGGCTTGATTCCTTGGGCAAGAGGATACGTAGGCAGTCTTTCAGATACAACCGGTTTGATCAGTTGATTCAGATGGGGGGGAGATCATGTTTCAGCTCTAGATTGGTTCACTGACTTGTTGAGGAAATATTGGATGATTCGGTGTCGGCTCAGTTTTTTGGTGGAAACATTCGCCGAGGTGGAGAATTGAAGAATTACAGAAAAACAGAAAAATCAGGCAGAGAGTTGGGCGGTTGACCGGCACGGTCGACCGCAAACGTGCACAAATCCTACTGGGAGTCAGAGTGCGTGGCGGTCGACCGGCGCGGTCGACCGAAGCTGGTGGCGGTCGACCGGCGCAGTCGACCGACGATGACTGTAAACATTTTATCTCTCGGGTTTGATGATTCGGTCGACCGGTGCTGTCGACCGCGAGACCTGCGCGGTCGACCGACGATGATCTGGGCTGAGCTTTCAGGTTTTTGACCCGTTTCGTTTTGTAATCTATATATACCCTAAACCTGATTTGTTAGGGTATCTGAAGGACGATTTTGAGCAGCCTCTAAGAGAGATTTGTTGCATCCAATTGTGGGAGAGCTTTGAGAGATCAAGTGCTTTGTTTTAGGGTTTGGTCTGAGAGATTTGTAACCCTATTTGTATTCCCTTGATTTCTAGTAGTAAAATATTCCCCCTCCTTGCCTCGTGGACGTAGGCAAATTGCCGAACTTGTCAAAGAATCAGTCCATGGTTGGGTCGGCAACCCTTAATCCAATACCTACTTGGTAGAAATGTTGGTTGCTCCTGTGATGCTTATGGTTGATTTCCTGCTGCTTAATGGAGCCACAGATCATGTTGTTTGCGGAGAACGAGGATGGACCTTGGAGGTTGAGTACAAAGCTTAGGCATAGTCCCAAATCAGTGACTATCCTGGTATGTTTCTTTCTACTTTCCTGGGAAACCAATAGATATAGTAAATGTGTCAGATTTTATTGTTCTCTAGGTACAAACTTAGTTTTCCACTATCAAGTAACATGAATGATTATTCCACTGGACAATCTACATTGTGCACAGATTATTATTCATTTTGAACTTTTAAGTTATCCATCAAATTTTGTCTTTAGTTCTGTATTTAGACAACCATTAATTATTATATGAACATATTAGGAACCTTCGATGTAAGTATGTTTTGTCAAGAAACTTCTCTTCTGTGTACAAAAATGAAAACGTTCGATTAGGCAGTTATTTATGGAGAACAATAGTATGCCAGCCATAAATGTATCAAACTATGGGTATCTCAAGGAGGGCCTGTACCAAGCAGTCCTGGTCGGTCTGCCCAGATCCGCACAGGGAACAAACAGGTCCAATCTGATTTTGTGGCCTCGCCCAATTTTTTATTTAAGAAGAACTGTTTTCTACAATATTTATCAATATACCAAAATAGAAAAGAGAGATTTGCATATATGCTTCTAAATTTTCCTTCTATATATTATAATAAATTAATAATAGGAATTCAAGTGCTCATGACAGTTTCCTTCTAATAATAATAAGAGAGATTAATTTACACATGGTTCTGATTTTTCCATCTATAATAATAATAACAATAACAGGAATTTACACGCTTATTGCAACACCAAAGGAATTTCCTTCTATAATAAAATAAACCTGGAGTAGAGTAGATGATTGCACATGCTTCAAAATTTTAAAAAATTCCAAAAAAATAAACCCATGCTTTTGTATAGGATCAGCTCTAATCCCAGTCCGTGTTTTGGGCCATGGTTCAGTCCCAGTCCACTTTTGGCCATCCCATGTCCCCAGTTCAGTCCCGGTCCTGGTCCACTTTTGGACATTGTTTTTGGCATTGGACTGGGTTGCCTGTCCGGTTTCCGGCAGCCCACTCACCACTCCTACTACCAAGCATGTGTATTTGTATCTTCTCTATTTGGATTAGTTGATCAGATCAAAAACGTTGTGCGAAGGAGTTGGTTCTTAGCTTGTACGGGCTTACTGTGCATGACAGTGATATTGGTATCCAAACTCCTGTCAGCACTATAGGTAGCCCCCATTTTATGCATGGTTTCTTGAGGAATTTGGGACATCTTAGACGTTTGATTTCATATTGACCATTGGTTATACAAAATGTTCTTAGAGCTTGTTGCCCATGAAAAAACCCATTGTTGATGGGGGTTTAGTTTAGCTGATGTAATGATAATGATAATGAGGAAAAGTATGTATTGTTGGAACTAATTTAAAGATTTGAGTTCTTATGCAAATATGACTTTTGAGGGGTTCTTTTGCAAAATTCCTTTCCTTATTCACATACGCGTTATTATCCTCTTCCTCATTCACCGCTTATTCCATTTCTCCGAGCATTAAAAGAAAATCCCGATGATTCCTCCATCCTTCCTTGTTTTTTTTTCTCCGAGCAAAAATCTCGTCCTCGTATGACGGAAACGTACGCGTCCTCTCCGGCCTCATCAACGACAACGGGAAAAATCAAGATAGCTATAAAAAGGGGATTTCAATGAAGGATGAAAAGGTAAGAAGAAAAGTGAGCAATTTCTGTTCTCTCTCTCTGATTTATATTCTCTACAATTTAATTTCTAATTTCATTTTTGGGGCAAACATCCATTGAGCAAGAGATCAAAGTTCGCAGTAAACTTTGGTGCCGGCTTATCTCGGGGGTTCTTACCGCTAGACGTAGTCGCTTTGAATCGTCTCTGCGAAGGCGGCGACTATTGTTCTAGGGCAGTGATCACACGATTACCCCTCTCAGGCCTGCGTTTCTAACCTTTTGAAATTACTCCTTTTTATTTATTTGCAGTGTTTTCTCTAACAGTCTAGAACAATAGTCAGAATTATAAATTCTATATATTTACTTCTGCTGCAAAAGTTGTTTTCTTCAAAGGATCTGATAATTTGTTCGCAACCTCAATAATATTGTGGTCTCTGTTCTCTGCTGCATATCTTCACGTGCTTTATAAATATCATAATTACTTTTGGTGCATGTTCCTAATCTCTAATTGTCTAATTTAATTGATTGCTGAGTGAAAGAGCGATATCATTTATCTGTTAAGCGTTTATTTCTTTCAACAAGAAAAAACACTTTGTTCATGCTTGTTTTGCTCATTATGCTAGTATCTTCTCTTTGAGCATATATTTCATTCAGCGTATGTTTTCCTTGATCAACATTTGAGTGATCAAGTTCTTGATAGTTTTGGATTTTATTGCTGGTTAATATAGAACTTTAGAAATAGATTCAAATAGCTTGCCGAAATTATTTCTTGCTTGTCATTGACATATTTCATATTTAATCACATTATTTGTATCTGTTGCCTTTGAAAACTATCCAGACAATAATAATAATAATAATAATAATAATTAATTTGAGTTACCACCACATTGATTCTTCTCTGTTTCATTTCTCAGATCCTTGAATTACCAAGACTAGCAATTTTATTTTCAGACTTTATGGCTAGTTCCGATCTATCTAAGTCAACCAAACCTGAGAAGTTCACCGGTTTGAACTACAAACGGTGGGCTAATCAGATGAAATATTGGCTTACAACTTTAGGACTTATTTCTGCTATTGACTCTGATTTTTCTTTATCAACACCTACACCCTCTTCATCATCACAAGTTGAACCTATCCCCACACCTACCACATCATCCGGGATTTCCAAATCTCCTGAGGAAATAAACTTTCATTGTTACAACCGAATCCTTAGTGCTCTTTCAGACAAATTGTATGACATTTATTATGAGTATAAGGATGCAAAAGAATTGTGGGTAGCACTAGAGTCTGAATATGGTTTAGATGATGCTGGTATAGAACGTTTCTCCTCCTCCTCCTTTAATAAGTTTGTTATGGTAGATAGTAAACCCATCAATGATCAGCTTCATGAATTTCAAGACTACATCCGATACCTTCAGTCGAAAGGAAATACTTTCTCTGAAGAATATAAGGTATCTAGTCTTATTGATAAACTTCCTCCTTCTTGGTCTGATTTTGCTAAAGATCTCCGTCATCTACAAGGTGACTTGACTCTTGTACAAGCCCTCAAAGGTATTAGGATAGAGGATCAACATAGGCAAAACTTCAAACCAAAAAATGAAATGAAAGCAAAAGTAAACCTAGTGGAAGAAAAGCCTAAGAACTTTAGAAACCCAAATCACAAACCCAAGGGTAAGAATTTCAAGAAGAAGAATCTTTCCCATCGTCCTAACCAACATCCCAATCTCTCTAGAAACCACAAACCTTTTAGCCAAAAGTCTGAGACTAAATTTTGCTATGTCTATGGGAGAACCAATCATCTTTCGACTCAGTGCTACTACCCAAAGAAAGCTCCTATCAAGACTCCTGTAGGCGGAAAGGGTGAAGAAGCAAATCATAGGGTCAACATGGTAGAAAATAACTCAGACTCCTTTAGGTTAATTAGCTTCCTCCTCTTATGTTGTAAATTGTACCACTTTTTCTAATGACTGGTGGTTGGATTCTGGAGCAAATATTCATATTTCTTCTGATCGCTCTTGGTTTTCAACTTATCAGGAATCAAGTGGAGGAAATGTAATTCTAGCAGATGACTCGACTAGACAAGTAATGGGAAGTGGACGTGTGGACCTAAAGATGACTTCCGGAAAGATTTTGACTCTCCACAATGTCCTACATGTACCATTACTTAGAAGAAATCTGATTAGTGAATCTGTTTTATTGAAAGTTGGATTCAGAATTGTTAAAGAGTCAAATAAGTTTGTAATTACCAAGAATGATATATTCATTGGTAAAGGTTTTGTTTGTGATGGTCTTTTTAAGTTGAATGTAATAAGATCCTCTGATAATAAAAGTTCTTCTTCCATAATTTTAAATGTTGAATCTTATGACAAATGACATGGAAGGTTAGGACACATAAACTATGGAACCATTAGAAAAATGACATCCTTGAACTTGATACCCAAAACCAAGATAGATCCACCTTCTAAGTGTGAGATATGTGTTCAAGATAAAACCATTAGAAAACCTTTTCACTCTATTCATAGAGATTCTGAACCTCTAGAACTCATACATAGTGATGTTTGTGATTCAAACAGAGTTCTTACTAGGGGAGGAAGAAGATACTTTGTAACCTTCATAGATGATCATTCAAAGTATTGTTATACATATCTTCTCAAAATTAAAGATGAAGTCTTAGAAAAGTTTAAGATATATAAAGCAGAAGTTGAGAATCAAATTGAGAAGAAAATAAAGATCCTAAGATCGGATCGTGGGGGGGAGTATACCTCAAATAACATGTCTAAATATTGTCAAGAACACGATATTATTCATGAGGTGACTGCTCCCTACACACCGCAATCCAATGGAGTTGCTGAAAGGAAGAATAGAACTCTCATGGATATGGTAAATTGTATGCTTCTCAGCTCAGGAGCACCTGAAAACCTATGGGGTGAAGCACTCCTATCTGCTTGCTACATTCTTAATAGGGTACCTCACAAAATATCTGATATCTCTCCCTATGAACTTTGGAAGGGTATAACACCTAGAATAAATTATCTTAAGGTTTGGGGATGTCTAGCTAAGGTAGGGATACCTGAACCTAAGAAGAGGAAAATTGGTTCAAAAACTGTTGATGCTGCATTTATTGGATATGCATTAGATAGCAACGCAAACCGGTTTTTAGTAGTCAACTCAGATATTAGTGATATAACCGGTTTTTAGTAGTCAACTCAGATATTAGTGATATAACCAACAACACTATCATTGAGGCTCGAGATGTTGTATATTTTGAAGATATATTCCCTTTCAAGACTAGGATTCCTAGTGAGCTTTCTTCTCTTTCCCCTTCTAGATTTGCCTCATCTTCTAGTACTCCACAATCGATAGAAGTAGAACCCAGAAGAAGCAAGAGAGGAAGAATCGAAAAGAACTTCGGAGAAGAGTTCTTTACTTTTTTGGTTGAAGGTGATCCAAACACATACCATGAAGCCATGGATTCTTCTGAAGCTCCTTTTTGGAAAGAAGCCATAGATAGTGAAATTAAATCTATTATAGAAAATAACACTTGGGTTTTAACTGACTTACCTCCAGGATGTAAACCAATTGGTTGTAGGTGGATTTTCAAGAAGAAATTAAGACCTGATGGAACTATTGAGAAATATAAAGCTAGACTAGTAGCAAAATGGTATACTCAAAAAAGGGGTATAGATTATTTTGATACATACTCACCTGTAGCTAGGATTTCTTCTATTAGAGTTCTTCTAGCCTTAGCTTCTATTCACAAGATGATTATTCACCAAATGGATGTTAAGACCGCTTTCTTAAATGGTGATCTCAAAGAAGAGATTTATATGGATCAACCGGAAGGGTTCATAGCCAAAGGTCAAGAAAGAAAGGTTTGCAGATTGATGAAATCTTTATATGGGCTTAAACAAGCTATCATTTGTCAAAGAATTTTGACATGAAAGATCTTGGAGAAGCTGATTTGATTCTTGGAATGAAAATCTCCAAAACTCCTAAGGGCATTTCTTTGAGTCTATCCCATAGCATAGAGAAAATGTTAGAGAAATTTGTTTTTCATAAGTGCAAACCTGTGAGTACACCTTATGATTCCTCAATCACCTTGAACAAACATGATGGTGAACCTATATCCCAACATAGATATTCACAATTAATAGGCTCTCTTCTTTATGTGTCAAACTGAACCAGACCTGACATTGCTTATGCAGTAGGTAGACTAAGTAGATACACTAGTAACCCAAGTCAAGAACACTGGAATGCATGAGAAAGTGTCTTTAGATATTTGAGAGGTACAACAGACTATTGTTTAACTTATTCTGGATACCCTGATGTGATTGAAGGGTATAGTGATGCTAACTGGGTCACTGATTCTGACAATGTGAAGTCTACTTCTGGATTTATTTTTATGCTTGGCGGTGCTGCTATATCTTGGAAATCTTGTAAACAAACAGTGATTGCTAGAAGCACCATGGAGTCTGAACTTATAGCTTTAGATTCTTGCTGCTCAGAAACTGAATGGTTGAAAAACCTTATATCTGAACTCCCTTTTGTGTCTGGACCTATTCCTCGCATATCTATTCATACAGACTCCGGATCCACTATAGAACTTTTAAAACAAAATACCATCAATAAAAAGTTGAACAGACATCTGCAGATAAGGTTTAAATCTGTGCAGAACCTTATGGGAAAATATGTTGCCTTGGATTTTGTAAAGTCAGAGGAAAATTTGGCAGACCACTTGACAAAGGGTCTATCTAGGAGTGCAATCCTAGAATCATCGAGGGGAATGAGGTTAAGCTCATAGTAGAGTTCACTGACAGCGGGAACCCAACCTTTGATTGATGATGTTATTCTCATGAAAAAGGTTCAATGTGGTAGAAACAAGATGGATTGATGATCTCGTGTGGAGCACTGAACGTCGGAGTTATACTCCTTTTGTAGTGTTGGATGCATTTATGACTTGCACCATGTTAGCTACTCCCTCATTCCTATGGTGACAGTGCTCTTATGATGTGACTGGGCCGGATGAGTTTTACTCTTAATAAGTCCAACCTTTGTGGGGGGTGCAATATCTAGTCACAGTACCCTTGGAGGACTTACCTACGTGAGAGGAACCGTGACGGCCGCGGTTGGGGACATGAGGCTGAGTCCTAGTAACTCTCATGAGACGGTTTTTGTGAGCATGACCATTATCGCTCTGACCCGCTCGCTCAATAAATGGATGCATATTATGTGTGCTTTTGTTAATTTCTGATCAAGGGGCCTAATTCAAGGTCTAATCCATTATGCCTCTCAGATTGCGACAAATGTCACTAAGCAAAGATTCAAAGCCGAAAGCTATCTTTGCCAAATTCATAATATGAGGTTGCCCGACCTATATTTTGTTAACATTATTATTGTTGTTGTTATTATTTTTCTTTTATTCCCCAGAACTCAATCTTTTGGGGGGGATTGTTGGAACTAATTTAAAGATTTGAGTTCTTATGCAAATATGACTTTTGAGGGGTTCTTTTGCAAAATTCCTTTCCTTATTCACATACGCGTTATTATCCTCTTCCTCATTCACCGCTTATTCCATTTCTCCGAGCATTAAAAGAAAATCCCGATGATTCCTCCATCCTTCCTTGTTTTTTTTTCTCCGAGCAAAAATCTCGTCCTCGTATGACGGAAACGTACGCGTCCTCTCCGGCGTCATCAACGACAACGGGAAAAATCAAGATAGCTATAAAAAGGGGATTTCAATGAAGGATGAAAAGGTAAGAAGAAAAGTGAGCAATTTCTGTTCTCTCTCTCTCTCTGATTTATATTCTCTACAATTAATTTCTAATTTCATTTTTGGGGCAAACATCCATTGAGCAAGAGATCAAAGTTCGCAGTAAACTTTGGTGCCGGCTTATCTCGGGGGTTCTTACCGCTAGGCGTAGTCGCTTTGAATCGTCTCTGCGAAGGCGGCGACTATTGTTCTAGGGCAGTGATCACACGATTACCCCTCTCAGGCCTGCGTTTCTAACCTTTTGAAATTACTCCTTTTTATTTATTTGCAGTGTTTTCTCTAACATGTATGAGATCAAAACTATGACAGAACTAGCTGATAATTGCTGGATATATTGTGCGGGTAGCTTGTACATCGTGATAGAAGATTTATATGGAAAATTACAGAAATAGAGACTCACAATTTTGCACGTAGTGCTTTAAATTACAAGTGGTAGAGGAATCATTTTTTTGAACGTCTGGTCCTCTTTGTGAATGAGGCTTGATTTTGTAATTAGATATGAATGTGGAAGAGTCATTGAATGATATACATAAATCAGAGATTTGGTCATTCATCAAGTTCTGAAGTTGAGTTCAAGTTCAAGGTGTTAAAAGAGACAACAAAGTTCCTGGTTTTGGCTCTTATAATAAAAGAATTACGTGATTTGAGTGTGGGATTGTGACGTGCAATTCATTTGCGTGAGCACAGAGCGACATTACCACTTCACTGCAGTAGTAACAGTTAAAGAGACAACAAAATCCCTGGTTTTGGCTGCTTAAATTTTTGTGCCTCCCACACCCCCCACCCCTACCCCACCCAAAAAAAAAAAAAACCCCTTGGACAATCATCCGAAAACCCCCCTTAACTTGCAGCATATTAGAAAACTCCCTTAAGTATAGGGATTATCACAAAACCCTCTTTAGCTTTGAGATTTTATCAGAAAACCCTCCTAATTTGGGGTATTTTTTTATAAAATCTCAAAGTTAAAGGGGTTTTCTGATGACCCCTAAACTTAAAAGGGGGGTTCTGTAATATTTTGAAAGTTAAGGGGTGTTTTTTGGTAATAACCCAAAGTTAATGGGGGTTTTACGATTTTTAGGGGGTGTTTGGTTCAATTTCTAGAAATTATAGGAATTGTTTTCCACCTAAAATATAATTTTTTTGTATTTCTTAAAAAAATTATAAGAAAAGTTTTGAGAAATCAAAAAGTACCAATTTTCTTGTTTTTTGTACTTTGCTTGTTTGGTTCAAAACAAGAAAATAGCTCATAACTTTATAGAAAATAACAAGATTTGGTAGATTTTTAATTAAATATGATATGTGTCAGATTTCTGGTGTTTTCCTCTCATTTTGAGAGGAAATTGCTTTTTGTAAAATTTGGTAGGTTTTGATATTTTATAGAAAATATTTCTGTAAATTTTTTGTTGAACCAAACACAATTTACAGAAATCTCTGGAAAACTTTTAATTACAAATTTGCTATTATCAGATGTTTTGAGAAAAGTTTTTTCAAAAAGTGTGCAACCAAACAGCCCCTTAGCCTAAATTTTTTTGTTCTGTATTCTTGCAAACACTCTTTTTTAAGTTATTATCGCTTGTGTACCAACTTCTAACAGCCGTACTCTTACAGAAGATACCTTTTGTTATTAATGAAAGAACAGAAGAGAAGGGAGAACGGAAAGATTATAACCTTCGTTTCTTCTTCACCATCTTCAAGCATGAAAATTTCACTGCCGTAAGAGATAATAATTACTGATCTGCATGAAATTTTCACTGCCGTAAGAGATAATACTTACTTATTATCTCCTATTGATCTCCTGTATCTTTTTCCTCTTTCACTAGGCTGTAATGTGTTTCTGGTGATGAAAAATGGTATAGCTGATTTGCTTAATTATAATTCATGATTTCACTGCCGTAAGAGATAATAATTACTCATCTCCTATTGATCTCCTGTATATTTTTTCTCTTTCACTATGCTGTAATGTGCTTCTGGTGATGAAAAAGGGCATAGCTGATTTGCTTAAATTCATGAGGATCTGTTCGTTTCTAGAACTAAAGATGCTGATGATGGGGAACTTGTAGCGAGATGATAATTCTATTTCAGTTTACCATCAAGAAATGAAGTTACCCTCAGTCAATTATTATTTCTTCCTCTTATTGGGCACCTGCTATGAGCGGGCGTGGGATGTTTTTGCAACTGGTATATTGTTACCTGAAATTGTAGCTAAAATATTATTATGTTTTCGTAATAATGTCATCTGAGCATCTGGGTCTATTAGGTCAAATTGAATGAAAGTACCAGTTCTTACCAAAAGCAAAAAAGCATGTTGATTTCTAGAGCGAAAAAAAAAATTCCTTTATTGTCATGTTGCGTTAGTGGAAATTCTTTTTCTTTTCCTTTTTTTTTTGCGCGTACA